CAGGAGTTGGTATTTTAGTCCTTCAACTCCATTTTCTTTATTTCTCGACCTTTTTCCCAATTTCCTAGTTCCAATGCATAAGGTATGTGCGCAATTTGATCTTGTAATCTTCATGTCTTCAATTACTTCTCCGACTAATATTTTGGGTATTTTAAACTTAATCCCTGAACTTTGATATTCTTCATTTTGGCTCATTTTCTCTATTTTTCTTTCACGTTCCACTACATTCACCATTATTGACCCGCAATCACCATTTATAACGAATTAAGCTCTGTTTTGCGCATAAACTGACAAATATTCATGCTTATGAATCAATATAGACGTGTAAAATGCACTCTTATCAGCGCTATCCATAATATTCTTTTTAAGGGTCTTAGATGGAGAAAAGTTTGAATGGACAGGTGACTTTAGGTTCCACTTGTTCCAAAGGGTGCCCGGACACCTAGAAATTGACGACGTTTTTATTAGAGTATTGATACTCAGTCTTACTGGGACTTAACACATGTTTACATGATTGCACAATCAACATTTCATCATCGAGAGGGAAACAGCTCATCTCACTAGTTAAGACAAACTATGAAAAAAATGAGCTTACTATGAAATTTTCCCTTCTAACCAACTAACCAAGCAAGCTCATGTAGCAGATGTAGTCTCAAAAGTTGTTACACTGATTGTTGACCAAAAAAAATTAACAAGACTGATTAGCTAAGTCCCTTCTCTGTAGATTTGCAACATTGACATTGCCAAAATTAACTATATCATGCATACCATTAAAGGAGGCCAGGTTGGACAAATGTTTGCCCTTGCCATGTCTAGTTACTTTGCCAAATTCCTAGTGTGAGAAGTTCAAGTTTTGATAATATGTATATGGTTGTTGTATGTCTTTGAACGCATATTTACTTGAATGCTATCATGTGAAATTTTCAAAACCATGGTTATCAGACTTGATCTTAGACAGTCATTTTTGTACCATATTATAAACAGAAAGGTGCTGGTGCAAATTATGAATACTATCATTGAACGTTGTTGCAAATTGACAAATGATGACTTAGCAATTTTGAGTTGCTATAAACAAGTTTTTTTAGGGAAAACATGTCAACATTCAAATTAATCAAGAATGCATTACAGATAACTCCTGTGAATTTGTTAGACAAACATCAATATCATCACTTTTAGACAACAAAGTTTCACATGACACATCCTATTAGCATTTTGGCTTTTAGTAATAATTGTAACAATATTATAGAACACGTGTTATTCTGGAATTCAAAACACATAGATCTCACTCTTGCACTTCATTACAATAACAACAAAAAATATAGTCTCACATTTAATACCCAATAATTTATAACTAAAACATTTTGAACTACTTTTTTGTCATTTCTCTTCGTTCACTTCTAAAGGCTTGTCCTGT